GAGCCGTCACCCTCCCGTGCGCGGTGCCGCGCGGGTGATCGTGTCCCACGTCAGGGTGGCTGTGGGGTGACAGTGTGTTGTCTGGTCAGTCGGAAAATATTATAAACAGAATTATTCTGTAATATGTTGTTATTCTGTTGTAATATAACTGTGCTACAGACAACGTTTTTGCCTGAGGATCTGCTGCGGATCCTGCTTATCTGCTGTTACAACTGAAACCAATTCCAGTGCTGGAAACAGGAGCCCTGTGGTCCGGGCTCTTTCTGACCCGCAGGAGAAGGGGCACTGGTGCACCCGCGGGCTGAGCTGTGCGCAACTTTCCTGTGCCACAGGTGAATGTGAAGCTGCTGGGTTCTTCTAAGCCAGTGTATTTTAAAACAAGCACTCAGCAATTGAGTCTGCAACGCTGCAGCGCTTTACTCTTCACAGTTGGCTTCTGGGTTTATATAATGCTTAAAAACCCCAGTCTATTAAGGGAAGTGTAATTAAAATTTAAACTCATGGTAAATGCTAGAAGGCATCAATGTCTGTTCCTTCGCAGTAACTTCTGCGTGTTCTAGCTCATTAAAACAATCCTTGATGGCTTTTTAATCTTGGGTGGCTGATGACACTGCAAAGTGTTTCAGATTTGCTGTCGTGGTTTTGAGAAGCCGGCGATGATCCTGACACGTGCGTGATGTTCCTCCCCTCTCCCGTCCTCAGGGTGCTGGAGGACGCGCCGTGCTGGAGCAGAGCATCCCACCCTCCTCGTGCCTTTTTAGTTCTGCTCCTTCCTGCGTCTGTGCCCTGCTCTGGACAGCAGCTGAAAGCAGTCTTTCCTGCTTCTTGTAAAATTCCCTCTTTTCCCTGTTCTGTCTTTTCTGGCCCCATTGCTTTGGCCTCGAGAGGAGTCTGGACACGGAGCAGTGTCACCAGGGACAGGCTGAGGACACCAAACCAGCAGAGGTAGCTGAAGTTCAGGACAACTATTACAGGTGGAGCTCATCTCAGAGGGCAGGGATAGGGACGGGTCGGTGCGGAGCGGACCCGGCACGCCGTGCCACACTGCCGGATGTGCCGAGCGGCGCTGCTGAAGGCGCTCACCACGTTACTCTCTGGCAGGAGAAGTTCGATTTCCTTTTGAAGTCTGATTTCCTTTTGCAGTGTATTTAAGGCTTAATTTTCGGTCGCAGGGAGGAGGAGATAACCCGTGTGTCCAGGTCTTAACGACCGCGTTAAACGGGTCGTCCGTAACCATCTCTGAGCCCACACTGCGCTGCGGGTCTGTGCATGAGACGGAAAACAATTCATGCTGAGTGGTGAAACAAAGGGCTGCAGAGGGCTCCTGGGGCACAGGGACTTACTCAGCCCTTTGCAGATGTGACCCATTCCCTTCCCGCGTTTTCCTTTATTGGCACCACCTTGTACGAGACAAGGCAGTGCCGTCAGGGGTTGGCATTTCCAGTCGCTCTATGGAGTGAAGGTTTCTTCGCCATTCCTGGGTTTTTCTCAGGGCAGCAGCAGGAGCGGTGTCTGGGGTGGCTGTGGCAATTCCGGGTCTGGGTGATGCTCATCTGCCACGAGTGCTGACTGTGGTGCTGTGCCTGTTCTTCGTTCCCAGTGATTCCCCACAAGATCGGGCGCGTTATCGACGGGAGCCCCGCGGATCAGTGCGGGAGGCTGAAAGTGGGCGACCGCATCTCGGCGGTGAACGGTCAGTCCATCGTGGAGCTCTCGCACGACAGCATCGTGCAGCTGATCAAGGACGCCGGCAACGCGGTGACGCTGACCGTCGTGGCCGAGGAAGGTGAGGAGCATGTGGCCTCTGCCACGCTGCCAGAGCCTGGTGTTTGTAACTTCTGAAGTTAATCACTTAAAGTGGAGTATTTTAAGATGGTTGGAAATTAGAGAAAAGAGTGAAGCTCATCCGTTTGCTCTGGAAGAGCTGAAGGCAGGTGGGGCAGACACAGCTGCCGAGGTGGTCGTATGAAAAACGAGGCACAGGTATGAACGATGCGGTGTGGGGTGAGAGAAGTTCTCGTGGTTTCTGACGTGAGAGGGGCAGAGCGCTGCTCCCACGGAAGGACGTCGGTCCTGTCCAGACCTCCTGGTCTTCAGCCAAAGAGGAACGACCTGTCCCAGGTCGTTTCTGTTAAAATACAGAAATCACCTAACGCTGCATCCCTGGGGCACGACGTAAGGATCCCGTAGTTCTGTCTGCCAAAACTGCCCTTCGAAAACGGCCACGTCGCGCCGTGAAAGCCTCGTCCGGGTGTTTCTGCAGAGCCTTCGCTCGCAGCTGCCCCCTCGTCCGAGAGCAAAGCGTGTGTGACCGCAGAGTCCCGTCTGCAGAGACCGTGTGTGCAACGGGAGCTCCGTGCAACGCCGCCTTCCGTGCGGTGGTGTTCCTACGCACACGGTTCACTATAAATACGTTAAATCCAGTCGTTGGAAGAGAAGAGCTGTTTGCCATCCCTGCTCACTGCTGCGTTTTTCTGGATTGCTGCTTGTGGGTTTAATTAGACCTGCTGTCGTTATTTTGCCGGAAAGTTGGCTTTCTTCACCTTTTAAATAATAAATACCTAAAGCCAGAATGTGCATAAAATCAACAGATCATTCTCTAATTTCACATTCATTGCAAATATTTAACGTGCTATCTCAGCCTGTAATACAAAATTTCCAAGACTTCATTTTCCCTTTTGTTAATGCTCGAAGCAGGGAGAGTTCTATAAATTGTTACTTTTCCATTAAGATTTCCATTTTTATCAAATCTAATTCATTCCAGTTTGAAGGGACACAGCTCAAAGCGGTTGCCCGGAACAATGTTTATAATGCAACTGAGATTTCAGCTGGTGGCATGAGATCTGTTTCTCTGGGGCTCTTAATCAGCTTTGTTTTCAAAATAAGTTTTCTGAATGTAACATCTTGCCCCTTGTTTGTGCATGACCATACCTTGGGCCCTGTGCAAGAGCTCAGCTTTTCTCACTTCCTCAACTACAGGTTTGGAGCCAAAATGTAGAGATAAAACCAGAGCCTGAGGAGAATCAGCAAAGAGAGGGAGGGGAGAAAAGCAAAGTCAGTAGTGGGTGATAAATCAGGGTTGAAGAGACGACCAGAAAATTGTGTGGCGTAGTGGGGCTGGTGCTGGCCTGTTCTGGTGTAAGGAATTTTGTGACAGTGAAGGAGAGAGAAGCAGAGATGGGAATATAGCACCACTTACAATTCTCCTTGATTTAGCTGGAGAAACAGTGTAGCTCACAGCATCACTCTCCGTACAGCGGACTCCCGCAGGGAGCCGGAGGGGACGTGGATTAGTTGGGACTTGAGGCGTTCCCGCGCTGCGCGTCGCGGGGCCGTGCACGAGACGGCGGTTATCGCCGCGGAGGACGCAGGATGCTGCTCCGAAGAGAAGAATTCCCGCTTTGCCGGGAGCTGTTCAGCCTTGCGAGGCGCAGACCCTGGTGGAGTCCCATCGTCTCCGCGCTGCCCTCTGAGTCCGGCGGCCAAACGTGCCCTCCCCTCCCCGCATCCACACGTCTGCTCTCGGCTTCTCGCGCGGACAGAGGCGTTTGGCTCCACGTGCAGGCCGCGTTCGGCAGCTTTTCTCGCAGGCGCAGGAGCCTGTCAGCCTTGGTCCTGTATTAGCTGGAGACACGGGAGCGCAGGCGGAAGAGGACCGGAGAATTTGTACAAACAGATGGCATTTTTCTTGCCTGTGCTTCTAAATTAAAACTCTGAGTATAAACTAGGAGTAAAAGTTGACATTTTGTCTCTAGAGAAAAACCTCTTTAAGGCATGTCGTAGTAACAGCACCAGGCAAACCTGTGAAGGGCTTCTGAGGTCTTGCACCTGAAAAATTCAGTCGAATAATATGCGTTATGTTTTCCTTCCCCTAAGATGCTGGAGCACTTTGTATGTTTTACTGGGGTCTGTTCTGTACTGAGAAACGCAGTAATGTGATGCCCCTAACAGAGCACTGGAACACCTCTAGTTTGGGGACTTGGGATTTATTTTTTTTTTAACCCTTATAAGGAAAAGCTATTAGTTTATAATTCAGTACCTAAGTTCATCCTGGGCCACCACGTGCTGTTCCAGGTTCTAGCTAAGAGGCAGGTTTTTGCACAGACTGTGGCTCGTTACTGTTAAGTGACAGAGTCGGCGCTGGCGGCCGCGCTGGCTCTGTGTTCGGGAAGTTCTCTCTGACTGTCGGTTTTGTTTGAATTTATCAGAACATCGTGGTCCTCCGTCGGGAACAAACTCGGCCCGGCAGAGTCCGGCCCCGCAGCACCGGCCACTGCCTCCAGCACCGATGGCCCCGTGCGGAGCAGACAGGTACGGAGCCTTTGGCTTCGGCTAACAGAGCTGAGAACGGCTGGAAACGCTTCACCAGGGGGATGGACGCAAAGGTAACGTCCGCGTCCTTTTACCTCTGTGCAGGGGAGCTACGGAAGGTGACGCTGGAAAAGAAGTTTCAAATAGTTACAGACTCTCCTGGCCCGAGCATAAGCACTTGGCACAGTCCGACGCTGGCGTTGCTTCGGCCACCGGCAGCCGTCATTCCCAGGTAACCGCCCGCAGGGTGCGGAGATGGGCGAAGTACTGGTCCATCAGGACACGACAGCGGTGTTGCCACAGAGTATTCAAAACCAGAACAATAAAACCTTTCCCTGTCAGACGTGGGTAGAAAAGTTTCATATAAAAATGCACTAAAGTGTTTCACAGAATGTTTTTGCTGATGTTTTGATTGTCTCAGTGTAGCGGAGTACTTGTGCAAGGGGTTTACCACAGACCTTTGGCAAAGTTTCTTAAAGAAATTTCATGCATATCTAAAACTCAGAAGGAAAAATGTTCTGTGTGTTGTAGACTGAGAATTAAAACGTTACACCCAGTCAGACGTGAGTTGTGATGGATTCAGTTTAAATCATGGATCGCGCGTTTCTCAAAATACAGAAATGTATGAAGTGGTTTTCCAGAAAAACAAATGTTTAAATCTGCCTACAGGTCCTCATCTTTTTATTTTTTTTCCCCTCTGAATTTTCCCACACAGAATCCTGGCTGTTTCCCAGTAGAGTTGGAAAGGGGCCCTCGAGGGTTTGGATTCAGCCTCCGAGGAGGGAAGGAATACAACATGGGCTTGTTCATCCTCCGGCTGGCGGACGACGGGCCGGCTGTGAAGGACGGGAGAGTGCACGTGAGTGTGTCTGCTCCGAGCGGCGCCCATCGCGTCGGCCTTTCCGCACACCCACCTACCCGCACCCATCTACCTCGTTCTGCCCGCGCGTGGTCCCAGCGCAGAGCGGCATTGGCACAGCT